GGAAATATCAATTACGTTGCGTTTTCTACAGTAAATATATAATTTTTATGAAACGAAGAGAGTAGTGTTCGAAGGACAGCTAGGCATCTGTCTTAAAGTGTGGTTGTTTATAGTGGTCAATGCGCTTAGCTACACCTAGCTAGTTCACAGGCATGCCACTTTAAATTAAGGAAACAAATATATCAACTGAACCAGAAGCATATCACCTAGGTGATATGTTTCTGGTTCAGTTGATATATTTGTTTCCTAGGTGATATGCTTCTGCTGAACGTAATAGGCTTAAAAATCCCAACCGGCGGGAGGCAGACCAGGTGGCTATTTACAAGCATGACCGAGGAGTTGAACTAGGGTCTACCGAGAAACAACTCCAGCTTAGTGGTCAGAGCGGGACTTGAACCCGCGACCTCCGGATTTCAAGTCCGGCGCCCTAACCACTCGGCCACGCTGCCTCTACAAAAAAGAGCCATTTGTCATATATTTCCTCACCATGTAACAAATTAATTTCAATAGTTCATGATTAAAAGAATGTTATTGCTGTAAAACTCGTAACTAGCAATGTAGCCCCTTTAATTTAGATCAGGCATTGTTTACGCTCTTAGTTGAAGTTGATCTTTTTTTTTTCAAGGTAGAATCTTTCTTGATCGAATCTTGAAGTGTACATAGGTTTTTGTTCTTATGCACTTTTGTACCAAGCGTTACAAAACGTTTCAACTGTTTCCTTCGCAATGTATCTCTTGTGATTGTAACTCTCACTTTTCACTTTTAGGGGATATTACATAATTTTTTTTGTTTGTTTTTAGAAAACGAACGTTCAAAGGTTACCTGGCACTGTGATCTGTCTTGAAGAGTACCTATCCTTTTGTCTCCTGCGTTCGTGTTTTCAATCAACTTGGAAAAAAAGGTTTGATACCGAAACAACCTGACATTATATGAAAAAATGGATTCCTTATGACTGTTAATGTAATTTAGATATTTTTACCCACTGTTAGCTTCATGATACTATCTGTTTTACCGCTTGCCGTACTTCCTTGATCTTCCAGCAGTAAAGCAAAGGATTAATCATCGAGTTTAAGTAAATTAAAGTCCCTGTAAATGATCCAGCGATAAAAACCGGCAGCGGTGTTCCAATTGCAACAGCCATGGCTTCGAGTACAGAAAACGGAAGATAGCAAATGACAAGGGCGAAATGGAACCACAGTGCACTGTACACTGTCGATTGATATCTCCGTTCTCTTTGTAGCTGAAAGCTGTTTATTTGACCTCGACATTTATCCTGTATTTTAAGTCGTTGCCGACGACGGAGAAGGATAAAGATACTGGAGTAGCTGTAGGCAGAGATGAAAATACTCAGCATTATCACCACGCAGGACACTGTGAAGAAAATGCGTATGCTTACTAGATATGCTGTGGATACGGACAGGCTGAATATCCAGAAGAAAACCACAACTACTTTAACCCTAGTGCTAGTCACAATCAGACCATACTTCGATTTTAATAACAGCACCAGTAACCTGTCCATGCTTATAGCAGTCACTGTCAACAAAGATACTCCACACAAAGTCGTGCTCACAACGTATGTTGCGTATCTCATCAGGCAACAAACTTCCCAATGGCCATTACTAATAAGCAGTATGGAGACGACGAAGAGCGGCTGCGAAACCAGACCAACACAAAGATCGCTGGCCGCCAAGGAGCGAAACAGGATTCTGGAGCTGGCCGATAGAGTATACTCCTTCTGAAGGGCAAACAGGATAAGGATGTTACCACACGATGTAGTGATCGAGAGAACGATATTTACGACAGCGGTGGCAAGATACCATGTAAAAAGCTGTTTTGTTTCCCTCTGCTTTGCTTTGTCAATCCAGTCACATACAGATTCAAGAACGTAGTTTTCCGTGAAAATTTCAGTGGCCACGGTGGAGTTGTTCATTGTTGGTTGACATGAAACTATTATTTTTGAACCACACAACAATTTTTTTAGTATTTCCCACAATCAGCGCTCAGAGTCCGCACAGTTAGCCTTGGCGAAAGCAGCAGATTTTGTGACGAAAACAACAGGCAAAGCTCCGGATGTTTTTAAGCTAAGCAGACTGACGTTTTGTTTTTAACCTCAACCCTAAAATCCCCTATCTTAATATAACCATGTTGCTGAGATGCTAAATTTGTGTTACTTGGAAGAAAGGTTTGGCTGTACATTAGTCAAGGTTGGCTAGCCGTTATCTTGTCTGGGTTCTTAGTCTCCTTCCTCGTTTTGTCTAGTTGGTTTAGTTTTTAACAATAGCTTCCATCAGTGGACATGTTTGGGTTTGTCTATTGACTTTGCTTGCATGGGCCTTCCACTTTACTTCCTGTTTTGGCGTCAGTTCTCAAAGGTTGAGTGTTGTACTCGCGGATCTCAAGTGCTTTGTTATTCCATTTGCAGAACTCGCATGCAAGATGTTTGGGTTATTGTTCTGACTGAAAAAGATGTTTAATCCTCCAAGGTCAGTCGGCCCGTGATCCCACAAAAAGGGAGTTAGTTAGAAGACGATTGAGCTTGACAACTAAAGAGTGCAAGATCACAAATCCAAAATGACTGGTGACCGTTCCGTTTTCAAATTCCTCCGGCGTAGTGTGGACGGAAAACATTTGATGTGTTTTCAGAGTGAAACCTCCGTTTTCAAATTCCTCTTCCACTTCACTTGACTTCTCCGTGTTTCATCAGGAAAGACCTGTAGCGGCAAACAATTGCAACGGAAAAGGGTCCAAGTCACCTGCTGTCTCTTAAGTAACTATTCTGATCGATATACGGCGTCAGGCAGGTGAAACGAAAGCCTGTTTCCAATCCAAAGATAACAAGTTTGGCTAAATTTTCAATAATTTAATTTCAAATTTGTCACTGTTACTTATTATTTTCTAATAGGATATTTCAACCGACAAAATAAGTTTTTACATGAAAAGAGCCGGGAAATAACGGATGGCTTATAGGCTATTTCCGAGTTTCCTTATCCTGTTACAAAACAAGTCCTCGATCTTTTCATATGCAGTTTACAGTGAAAGTGATCGCGCAGGTGAAAATAGCGGCGTTTTCCAATCGACCAAGAATTCTGGTTTGAATTTTAGGGAAATTTCCATTAGCGAATGAAACGGACTGATTTTGCGACCTTTACCGAAAAGAGCACAAACTCGCGAGGTATACTCAAATTTTCGATGATCTTCGGGAATTTCCGTTGTACTTGATTTTTTCTCGGACATTGGTTCGCATTTCGGTAATACAACGAATTTTTTTCTGGAACCTTTCCACGACATTCGTTCCGGTTTCGAAAGAAGACTCCTTTTAACACAAAGGCAAATTAAAAAGCAACTCGGGAATGGCCTTGTTATTGCCGATTGGGTTTAACAGACCATTTTCGAATTGTCTTTTCCTCTGCGCCAAAACGAGTTTCTTGCGAGACCATTAATGTTTTCCACCCACATGTTCGTTTTCATGCAAATAAACTCATTATCATGCGAAAAGTTTTTCCACGAGGACTCGTTTTGAAACAGAGGTAAAAGGCAATTGGTACTCATTCAGTGCCCTATTGGTCTATTTGCTTGTGGACATTTCACAGTTTTGCGATTCCTATCAGTCTCTCAGAAGATAGTAACAGGGATCTGGGTACGAGCGGACGAGTTTGTCTTTTTGTTACCGTAAACATTAGCACACGTAGTGCGTGTAATCATCGTAATGGTTTTTCGAGCAGGGAGATACAAAAGAGAGAAAGTGTTTACGTGTAAATCTAGAAACAAAAGAGAAAGAAAAAGGCGAAATGTAAAACTATAAAGTGAAAGTGATCAGTTGTAAAAGATTGTACGTGATGGCAGATGACCTTATCAATGGAGTTCGCCAGCTGAGTGAGAAAAGAAAGGGACGCAAAAATATATGTTATCTTGATCGATGCCGTCAACGCCTGGAGAATTGTCAAACTCTGAAATCTACTTCACATACGTTTAGCTCGTGTAACGAAGCACAGAAATGCCAAATTACCGAATAATCAATGCAAAAATGTTTGATTATTTAATTATCCCATCTTGCAGGAGTCGCAATACTCTCTCTGCCTTCATGATACGGGAATCAAGACAAGTTGGGAGGGGCGGGGGGGGGGGGGGGGGGGGGGGGGATTTGGGGTGGGAGTTGAGCAAGGGGAGTGGAGGGAAGACGTGATTAGTGGACGAAGGCGAATTTTTCTTAAAGTTGAACGAGACTTGTTCCTACGACATCCTTAAAGTTTTGAGTTTTTACAGGTATCCGATGGTCACGCAATTTTTCGAAATGGAGAGGTTGCGTGACAAGCTAAATACTTTGTCAAAATGCAGTAATGCTGCTTTATTACACGTGACTCATTTCCCTTTTAGTTTATCTCTTGGTCTGTAATCTGCCTTGTCACGCGACATCTGGGAAAGAAAGATCGTGACGTGCGAGCCACCGTCACTTAAATGCATGCGTGATTCATTCACTAATACTTGTGACATTACATTCATCAGACGTGATTTTTTGATTCATCATACGTGATTCTTTTTCCCTTTCAGTTCCTACGTGCCTGTGTTACTTTGTAGTCTGATGAAGACCAACTAATGTCTCGGTAATTGGAATGTAATCTACGCTAATGTTAATCCAGCTAAGAAAAAAGCATGCTGTAACATTCTTCCCTATGATCTTAACTGTTTAACGTTGCTTTATGTACATGTAGTGCAATAGTTAAGAATTAAACTGCTAGAGCATTCAGACGGAGTGAAAGGTTTAAAATTAAGGAAGGTTATAGAAGGTTAAAAATGCAGATTGCTCGCTGGTAGAGTTAGTTGGTACGACACAGTTAACAAACAGCTTTGTCCTCGTGACAATAACAACCCATTGCTTACAACGATCACAAACGCTCGACTAACAAGAAATTCATCTTACTTACGTGAACATCGTATTGGACTCTTGAGTTCACTGCTTTATTGTCTCTACTTTACGCTGTTAAACTACGGAGTGAAGTGCAGTTTGCCACTTCCGAAACGCGCGCTATGATTGGTCGATGGTTGCCCTTGGAAACCATGAACTAATCGTCTCGCCATGCCAATTTTCCAAGCTGTTCCCCCCC